CACATCAGAGTTTGGCTCAAAACTGAAAATCTGTGGTTTGACTGCTCACCCAACTGACTGCCAGGAGCAGGGAGGGGGACGTGTTGCTCCTGCAATACTGAGTAATAATGGATTGGAGGAGCCCACTGGTTTGAAAATGTTTTCACTTCAGATCAGATACCATTGTTTGCAGGGCTGTTCCAAGGTTTCTGCATAGGCTCAGTGTGATAACTTCACCCTGTAAAGTCATGTAGGTGCAAAAGAACTTGTGAGCCCAAGATGGTGATTTCTGGTGTCAGAGGTGAAGCCAGTTTATGGCTACTCACTCAGCACAGTGCAGGCCAAGAAGCCACCTTGAGTCAATAGGAAAGAAGAGATTACACTGAAAAAGCAACCAGCTTACCTCTGAAATGGGGGTATAATAAATCAGGGAAAAAAAAAAAAAAAAAAACCCAAAACCCCATAGTGATTCTATTCTTCTTTTAGGAAGAAATAGTTTCTGTTTTGTTTTTCCAAGAATAGAAAAGTCAAGTCTCTGACAATTAAAGACTTCATTTTTTGACTAAAGAGAAATATTTCCTTCTCTCCTGCAGTCTTTTCCACATCACTCTAACCAGAAACTTTGCTGTCTCTGAGCAGTAATCATTTACCTGAAAAATACCCTATAATATTTCTCTTTGTGGAGGTTGGTAGTACAGATGCTGACTTTGAAGCGTGATGTACGACTCCAAGTGGCATGAAAAGAAATTGATGAGACAATTAGAACTTATGAGAATGGTGCTTGCATTAATATGTTGGGGAGAATCATCTAGAATAAAGTATTTCAAACTCCACAGAAACCTTAGAATTTATTTGGCATCTCAAGTAGCTCCCTGAGTTGTTATTGCACAAACCACAATACAAACATACATAAAATCCTGACCTAGACTTCAGCCAGTGACTAATCTCCCTTTGACTTCATGGGGCCAGGATTCCAGCTGACTTCTACTCCAGGGAGTCACACAGAAACACACACAGATCCTGAGCATCTAGTATGACTTCTGCTTTATATTGTTGTCATTGTGGTCTAGGATGCTGAAGATATTTAGTTATCTCCCTTCTAGCCTATATGCCAGGGTAGGCCAGAGAACACCTGAATCTGGTGAGTACTCAGAGGATAAGTGTGTGCCTGACTGCTACACAGGGGGATCTCGTTCCTTGTGTGGCGTCTTTCTAGTCCATGAGATTCCATGTGAGGTGGAACAGCTATGGCAAGAGGGCATGAATATTTGGCCTCAATATGAAGTGTCTTTATGCATTCCATAACACCTGTGGCATTTCTTTCCGTTCCAAAGCATGTAATTTTTGAATAACTGCCCGTCCTTTACATGGCCTCTTCTTTTACCCTCTATCAGTCTGCTTCCTGTAAAGCAATAAAAGCCTTTGCACAGCAGGAGATTTTTATGTCCACTTTGTGACTGAGCAGCAGGTAAAGCTGGGAGGAGAAGAGGACAGCTCAGTCAGCCTTGGTAATCAGCTCTGGCTTGGAACCTGGAAAACCCATTTGAGCACGCATTTGCTCCTGTGTTTTTGCTTTGCATCCACTGCACTGGTTAGCATTTGAGATTTCTGACTAGAAATATTGTTCCTTTTGCAGATAGAAGTGTTTGGCTTTATTATTTCTAGCTGGTGCTACTGATGCACTTGGAATTAAATAGGGAGGAGGTCATTCCTTTATGGCTATTTACTTATGAACTGGCTGATGGTCCAGATCATGTCAAGTATAAACATTCCAGTACCTTCCTTTTTAGAGATGTTGTGTCTTTCTGAAGCCTTTCTTGCCTTATGACAACTGCTTTTTTACTTTTGATAATTATATTTTTAATAATACAAGTATCTTAAATATATTGTCTTTTAGCAGAATACTCTGACGTCAACAAGTACACAGGTCTCATTTTGCAGCTTACAGCTTACTCTGTACCTGTAGGAGAACCGGGCTTGAGGCAGGTGCATTGCACCTACAAATTTCTCCCTGCAAAACCAGATTTTTAGTTGTTATTTTTTACCCTTTCTGATATTAAAATTTGTACTCAGTATTATTGGTATTTTGACACTGCAGGAACATCTGATAACATGAGTCATGGACCAGCCTCATTGTTGTATTGTTAGCTGTTTTGCTTATCTCTTTCCTTCTTCTGTAGAGTGCAAGCATAGCTGTGAGAAGGGGGTCGTATAATTTTTGTTCCATACCTTGAGAGCTTTTGTAATATGAAGGTTTAGATCTAGAATTATAATTGTGTGGGATGCTGTATGCACAAGCAGAATGACAGCCCTTGCCAGGTAGTTTACAATGATGTACTGAGAATTCTTTAAACTGAACGTGGACATGGAAGATGCACCTATCTCTGAAAGATAGGTACAATTAGATTGACAACTTGGATGTCAGGCTTCTTGTTGATGTAATTTAAAATAGTTGTTGCCACTCCCTCCCTCCCTCTATTCCCTGAAATGTGTCTTATACTGGAAATGCTGACAAGACCCTCATCATTTGCGATGGCACCGTGCGCAGCTTTAAATACTGGTTATAAATGTTAATGTGTTATCTGAATTATATTTTTTCCATATGTAGGCAGCTCAGGATAGAATTTCAGTAATAAATTTAACGAGTTCAGGGGGAAGATGCAGTATATGCTTATGTGAGTATTATAATGATTGGCATTTTTGCAAACAGCATATGATAAGAGGCGCAATTTTATTTTCAAAGTTTAATCAATAGAGAGCTCTTTGATATTGCCATGTACTTTTCAAATAGATGCTTCCTAAGAATGACAGCAAAACAATTTCTCTATCATGGTGTGTATATGCTTGGGGTTTAATCAATCTGCTTTAGTGATTGTCATAAATTTTGATATTCCAAAAAATAAATAGAAGCTATAAAATAATTATGCTCTGGGGTGTCATCCTGTTGCTGCTTGCCTGGGTCATCTGACTTCACAAATATTTAAAAGGATGCACAGTCCATCACTGTGCCAGTTACAAGAGCATTTTATTCCTATTTATTGTAAACCCACACCAGCTATTGCACAGGAAATTGAGGTGGATCTTCAAGGGCTTAAGAAGGACTTTACGAATGCCTTGTAAGTGGAAGTGAACTTTTGGAAGTGAATTTGGAACTTTTGGAAAAGTGTAACTTTTGGAAGTGAATTTGCTCTCAAATAAGAGGAGCCAGAAATCACCACCTCACTACACAGCAGCCTCCCCTGTAATTTTGATCCCTGTGGGGTCATCAGAAGTGGCTGAAGCTCCTTCTATGTGAGCCAGAATATCCACCTAGTCCAAACCCCCTGGGGTGGTCCCTTCAGTGGTCCCAGCACCAGTACAGGTGCTCTTCTGGGAGTCTGAGAGGAGCAGTACATCCCTGGCCTTTCTCTGAGATGTTTCAAGCCAGTAGAGAGGACTTTGGGGAGATGCCCAATGCTCTGGGTGAGCTTTGTTCTTGCTGAGCAGAGCCCAATTGCCTGTGTCTCTTTTGTTCTTGGAAACAACAGTAGCAGCTGAAAGCTGAACTTTGGAAGATCATTTCACAAGCATTTGAAGGCTGGCCGTGTCCACACAGAGCTGTGGTGCCAGCCCAGCTTGTCCTCCCTATTGCAGGAGCCTGCAGAAATTCATGCTGGCCCCACAAAACCAGTCCCAGGGAAGCCTGCCTGGAACAGACGGTGTCAACGATTTATTGGATGTGGCAGCAGAAGGACACACACGATGAGCTTGGAGATAACCTTTGGCAGGGAACTCTCTCTGTCACTTCCACTCTTTCTGATAAAAAAATATAGTAACTGGTAGGCATTTGGGAAACAGGGAAGCTGGAACCTTTCAGGTGATTTGACCTGAATGTAGCAGAGTGCCATGAGCACTGATGCAGAACCTCCAGAGATGTCAGCAGATCTGTGCCAGGCACCACTGCAGGGTATGACCCGGTCGGCATCAGGATGGATCCTCATCTCAGCACAGGAATTCCTCCAGAGCCATGAGGGATTTGGGCAGGCTGACATCAGTGTAAGACCGGGGTTTAAGTGTGCTGTGCATACTAGATGAGTTGTTGTAGACACTCGTGAAAAAAAAAATATCATTGAAAATTTATTTATTTTTGGCACTTTTTAGTTGCAGCAAGATCCCATTGCAACATCCAGATATTACAGCCTCAGCTGTAGTTCCACTTACTTTCATACAAAGATTCAAGAGGATGACCTAGAGAGAGCAAAGAGTTTTTACTCTTTCTTTTTATAATTTTGTTTTGTAATATACATGTGTGTGTGTGTGAGCTCTGTATGGGTAAATATATACATGGAAGTATGGACATCTGTTTGTTTAAATAACATGTGTTTTCCTTTGCTGTCCCTGACCAACATCAATTGCTGTGCTGCCTTTGTAAATATGCTGCAGTGGCCGATTCTTTTGAATTCTTTGTGCTATCTTTGCTTATGCTGAATAGCAGCTGACACTTTAATTGGGATGACTGAGCTGAGTGCATTCGCCTTTGGAATTGGACACTTTTCAGTGCGAAGAGAGGGTACCACAGACTGACTTTTCTGTCTTTATCCTCAACCAAAACTCCATTAAATCAGACCTACAGTTTGTAGCAAGGGACAATCTCTGTTGCATTGAAACACATGGGAAAGGCTGGAGACTCAGTTTTGAAGGTTAATTAGATCCTGAAAAGAAGAATTAACTGAATTTGTTTTCTGTATTTTTTCCCCCTATTTTTAAGAATCTTTTTAATTACTTTCATCTCTGTTGGTGATGACCACTTTTCTCTTTATAGGAAAAATATCTTATACTTTTGAGTTTATTAAAAACCTTTTTGATAGACAGATTCTAATTCTCATTTTAAACAAAAATAAGCATAGTGCTGGCACATTGTGTTAAAATTTAGGCATCAGAACTCACTCTATGTTAATATGAGCTAATCTTTATTTTTGTTTAACTGAGTGCTAACATTATTCAGACTTAGGCACTAAATGGAATTTTTTTTTTTTTTTCAGTTGGCTACATTATCTTTGGAAAATGAAGGAAGGAATAGTTTAGGACATGACCATTCAAAAACTCTTTGGTGGGGGTGGAAGTTTCAGCAACCAGTTCTTTTTTTCAGGTTCCTGTTACGCAGCTGCTGTTGACCCTACTCTTGATTCAGAAAGGTAAATATTCTCCTTTTCAACTCTCTCTGGAAGATTGTCTCTGGCTATATGAAAACATGCTTCTTATATTGTTATAGTAACAATAGTTAAGTGACCCGCTCATGTGCCAGCAGAAAAATCACTTCTGTGCCCCAAAAGAGGGCTCTCAAAACCTAAGAGTTCCAGCAAAGACAGTCTCCTTGTGGAAGACCATGAAAGGTTTGAGGTAGGAGAAAACTGTTGGTTGGAGTCAGTCTTATAACTTTCTTCTTTGTGTGGCTGAAAATAGAGCTATTTATCATGCTTACCCTTCGGTGTCAATATACACGAAGAATGGAATGTGTTGTAGGAGGGAGACATCATCTTGTTCTTTTACTCAATTTTAGTTGAATTGATTTTGCAGAGGAGTAAAGTTGTATTTTTAGTCCTCCTCCCCATTCCAGGTTTCCTTGTGTTACATTCACCTCCAGCCCTTTCCCCCACATCCCTTCAGAAAGTACTGTGTATTCAGCTCCCTTAACCCTTAGCAATAATCCAGGCAGGTGGTGGTTTGAGCAAGTTCAAGAAAGGTACTGTAATTTCAACAGTGATAATATGGCTCTTCTCATTCTAGTGGTGTTCCTTGCTCCATGTTAGATTAATGCATTTTTCTGTGACTTTACTGTTGCTGTACAACAGACTTCAGTCATGAAAGAGTGATGTTCTTGATGGATTGGAGGATTTTCTTCTTGATCCTTTTTTTCTGTTCTTGTGATCTCAGCTCTAGGTTTTAGATCTGTTGTACTGAATGTAAAAGGCCTGGAAAAAGCAAGACTGGACAGAGACTGACAAGATAGACTTCCAATCAGTCATGTTACAAATAAAAAAAAGTATTCAAAGTGGAAGAAGCACGGAGGAGGGACTGCTGTGGGAATGAAAAAGAAAAATGGGGTAAACTGAATTTTTAGAGCGTGTTTTGGGGATCCTGGGGTGATCAGAAGTAATCAAATGTTGGAACTGGAAGCCACGACCATGTAAAACAGTGCTGAAACTAAATTGTCCTGGTGTGATGCTGAGGTGAGGTGATATCTCATGGTGTTTATGAACGAGTGCATGCTGCAGTTTGCTTTGTTTCTTGGAGTGGATTGAGGCTCTCTGCAGCTTATGGCAGAAGGGCAGCCCCAGCTTGTTCTCTCTTTTCTGTATATTGGTTATTGAAAAGCAAGAGATACCAACACTTCTGTAGCTCTGCCCCTCTGTCCCCAGAGGCAGTGTGAGCCAGTCTTCTGCCATGATTGAGACCCATGCACTGTCTTGTTGCAGACCCCTGAAGCCAGTGTGGTGATTCCCAACTGGGCAAAGGCAAGCAAGCAGGAGCTACTGTAAGAACACCTGTCCCTGCGTTTCTCTTGGTGTTCTAGTGCTCTGTTTACATGATCACACATTGGTTTCACCGCTAATGACCTGCTTGAGGTGCTGAAGGAATACAGTCACACAGTCAGACAGGCTTAGCTTCAGAAATTATTGGGACCATTACTAGATCTTGGAGTTCTACTTTTCCATTCTGGCTGTGTTTCATTCACACTTAGGCATTTCACACCTGCTGTCATGGAAGAGTTCTTCAACACAGCCCCATTTCACACATTCTCAGGCATCCAGGAACATCTGGAAAGTGACTGATTTCATCCAGCTTACAGTACATTCTCAAGTCTTGGCATTCTTGCTTTCATGGCTCTGGGGTTTTGCAAATGTAAAATCAAACAGGCATCAGTTGACATACGCAGATACAAACAGATTAACTGGAGGTACAAAGCAGGGAGGTGAAGGGGTTCACAATTAACTAGTGTTGTCTAATGGAAGCTGTGTCATGCATTCCCCCTGTGGCTTTGAAACTGCTGGCAAAACAAAGTCCAGACTTATTTGACACTGAACCCAGTACTACTGCTGGTATCTGTGCAGTGCCAAGGAACCTTGACTATGGCTCAGAAGCCCCTTGCTCTGGATAATGGAAAACACAGAACAAGATGGTCACTGCCCCAATTGTAACTGTTGTGTGAAACAGAGATTCCTTGATGCCATCAGCCTCTAAACGCCTACAGAGAGCACAAAACCAATCTCCTTTGAAAGATAGACTTGGTTTTGCTGATGTTAGAAAACAAGTTGTTTGGATTCCATACAAGGGAGCATCTGATGATGAGTTGCTTTCATACAGAGCAAGTCAAGATGCTTTATGTAATTGCTTAGTGTCAGAACAAAGCTGTATTAACAGAGCTTAGCAAGTTAAGGACCCAAAGCCATCCTTTTTTGGCACCTCCTGAAAGTAGTATATTACTTTGCTCACAGGCAAAGTGCTGTCTGAGCAGAGGAGCTGATGTAGGCAGACAAATACCATGGCCAGGTTCATCTAATGTTTGTTGAGGTCAAACCTCCTGGAAGGCAGTGCAACAGAGGTGCTCTGTCCTGAGTTTCTGAGGCTGTCACCTTCTAATTGGATAGACTGTCTCTGCCTTAGTACTGATCAGAGTTAATGCCCAAGATCAAAAGATAGCTCAATGAAGATAAATTTGCAGCATGAGAGAATTCATCATGTATTTAAAGTTACTGAAATGTGCAATAAGCAAAGCACTGATATTATGGAGGTGTGCATAAGAATGTAGTGAGGCAAGATCCCGAGGCACTCACTGAATCTGAACAGTTTACCATGGAGTTTAAAGAATATTAAGGGTCCTAATTCGTGTTTGAAGTTATAGACTCCTCCCAATATTAAAATATATTAAAATTCCTCCCTCAGATTCTCTAGAAATGGTCCCACATTTCTAGAATATACCACAGGACTTTCTGTTTGCTGTCTGATCTTGCTACCACTATATGAATATGTAAAACTGAGGCAAAACTGACTCCCACTGCCATATTTCTGTGATATAGGGGACTCCGACTGCAACAAAGGCAGAGAAATTCCTGCCACACAGATGTAAGAATGAGGAAGCACTGTGTTGGGGATACTATTCTTTCCCATTAAGCTTCAGCCTTGTCTTTCATCACCAATGAAAATGTATTGTCTTACAGCTGAGTACCACTTACCTCTGTCCTGAAGGGCCTCAATAAAGGTGAGAACTCAGGCATTATGTAAACTGCTGGAACACCTGTTATAGTAATTTTTCATTTTACTGAAATCTGTAAAGTTTTTCCAATCGCCTTTCGTTCTATTCAGACACTTTGGGATATATGGCAGGTGAAGGCTTTTGAAATAGAGTGAAATCTAACCTGGAAACGTGGGGGAGCTTTTTTTAAAGCAGGTGTACATACACACACTTCCTACACAAACAACCTCCTTTTTGCCCAGGTGGAAAGAGACGTGTTCTCAAAATTTGCAGCCAGCACATCGTGTTTACATGTGTTATGCTTCCAGGGCATCAAACAGTGATCAGCAGGGTAAGGCTGGAGAGGACAGAACCTTTCTTTCTGCTGCAGAACATTCTGGTGGGGTGTAAGACAGTGAGGAAACATGGGGACTGCTGAGGAGGTCTGTGCTGTACAGGTAGAACTCACCATCCTCTGACCAGCAGAATGCTAATGCAGAGGATGAAAAGCACTGTTTAAGGCAGATGGAACCAAGCTAGGATCTACCAGGAGCATATTGGGGGGTGTGTGTTCTGCTACTTCATTAGCAGCACTCAGTGTTCCTTCAGTGCTCTGATCCTTGATGGCCTTTGAGCATGAGAGTCTTCCAGTAATTTGCCTCATCTACTTCTTCCTTATCAGATGGCCTGTAGCAGACACCCACCATAACGTCGCCCAGCATGGGCTGCCCTCTGGTCCTGACCCGTATGCTGCCAGCTGTCTTGTCACCTGTCCCAAGGCACAGACAGCTCCAGGTGTCCCAGTTGCTCTCTCAAATAAAGGGCAGCTCTCCCTCCTTGATGTCCTGGCCTGTCCTCCCTGAAGAGCTGGACCCATCCATAGCAGCCCTCCATGGCAGCTGACCGCCCCCCTCCTGATCCTACCAAGCTAGTGAATCACGTATCTGTGGTGCCAGCAAGGTCATAGCCCATCCCAGCACCTTTACTGCCTTCTGTTTGTCCCCTTTGTAGTGTACAGACACTTACTGGGGACCATTATGAACCACTGTGAGCCAGCATTTAGGCTTTGCACCCTGTTCCAGCAGCAGGCAGGTGCAGGGGAGGTCAACCAGCCCCAGAAGGATTTCTTTACTTGCACAGCACTTCCCAGCTCCAATGAACCACTCGATATCGAGGGGCAGACATCTCACCAGTGGCTCACACACCTGCCCCAGCACCCTGGTTACGCTGCCCTGCACTTGTGTGAGCCCAGCTGCCTGTTGGTGTGGCGTTTCACAGGTGTACCAAGTGCACAGAATTTAGCAAAACTGTGACCTGAGCCCTCTGCACGGCGCTCATTAGCAGCAGGCTCAGCCCTCAGCACTGCCTGGTGCATACTAACAACTTGTTTTCACCGTTGCAGGGCATGGGAACTGCCTCTGTGTGCCGACATCCTCAGCCTTTCCTCCCGTGGCTGCTCGGGGTGCTGGGGTAGCCCTCGGGGTTTTGGGAGGTCACAGGTGATCACATTTACGAGAGGATAAAAAAGAAACTATCACTCGTTGAGAAGACTTTTCACGGGATTTGTGATAAGTAAGAGTTTGTCTTTTTTTTTTTTTTCCTTAGTTTGCAGACACTTTTTCTGTAACTTCTCTTTTGCCCTGGGTTGAGACAAGATGCCCTCTACGCTGGCACTATGATGCTGTGGGTGTGGCAGTCTTTCTTTTTCACAGCCCCACGCTGATTGCAGGGCAAGCAGGCAGGGCAAAATAAATCTGAAAAGGAAAAAGGTGGTGCCATTCTATTTTCCCTTCCCCCTTTTCTGCCTGCTCTTTTTCTCAAGTCTTTTCCCCTGGTACAAATGCAGGTAAAACCGTCTGAGTTCCAACTAGCAAAATGCAGAGAACCATGGGCTCAGTCAGTATGTATTTACTCTACTTTCCTCTTTTATTTCTCCTTGTAATCCAGACAAGTCTTGCATGTTTTCTGCTCCATTCTTTGGGTCAAGAACACACTGGTTAATAGCCAATTATTTCATACCCTGAGGAAGTTTTGGGGAGAAGTTCCTGGGAAGAGTCAACTTGTTTTGGGAAATGAGACTAATATTAAGTGAGATATTTCCATTTGCTCTCCTTTTTAATACTGTCCCATCGCAGCACAAGGCTGAATTTATTGCTATAATAGCTGTGATTCAGATAAAGCATAAGAGTTTCCCTGAATTGGTTGTTGCTTTTTTTTTTTTTCTTCTTCTTCACAAAAATTGAGGGTTTAGCCAGGACTTTGTGGCAAAATTTGTTAGGTAATTAAATTCTGCTTACTAAAAATCCCCCTTTTAGAATCTATCCCAGAATACAGCTTGCTTTTCCTTTGAGCACTTTTAAGGGACTAATTCATTTTAAATTCACAGCTCTCCAAATTCTGAAGCCTGCTGAAATTTTCCTTGACAGCCTAAACCAAAATGTGCAGCTCCACCTGAGGCATCTAAAGGTACATTTTTGCATGCTTAATTGCTGTTGTCTGTATTCTTGTTTAGATACAAGTCATTTAGACTCAACCTATGACTAGCAGAAGTAAACAAAATTATTTGCACGGGAAAAGCAAGTACTATTTAAAACTATATTTTCAGTAACAAGTAACACAGGCCATGAATAAATTCAATTTGTGTTTCGAGGGCTGTTTTGCGTGTGCAAAAATCCAGTAGTGAAAAAATAGGCTGAAAGATAATCTGAGGGGTGCAGTCCAGAACAGCAATCCAGAAGAGATGATCCACAGTAAAAATTACTGCAATTTATTTTTTTTTAATTTACTTCTGCTACTTTAATTTATTATTGTTTATTCATTTGATAGATGGCATTTAATTTCAGTTTGAGAGCTTCAGGATAAGTGTTTGATGCTAATGGTTGGAATTTAGTCCTGGGCAGAAAGCCAACATGCCACAGCCATGTTCCACTTGTGCCCTCCAAGCTGTATTTAAGTGGCCTTCTGTTGCCCTTGGGGTATGTTTTACACAGGAAGCTTAAAGCCTATTGCAGGCCTGCAGCTCACTTGCTGGAGCAAGGGAAAGATGGCTTTCCCTCTCTTCTGTTCTCTTCAGCAAGAAAATCAAATTATTGAATTACTGGCCCTTTGATTGTGCTCAGCACAGATAGTTCAAAATCCCATTTTATTGGACCTCTGAGATGAAATGTAAATGGATGAAGAAAAAAAAATGCATGAAATTGGTCTAATATGTCAATAGTATTCTAATACCTGACTAAGTGGAATGGCTATGACTGTTCTTCTAAACAGCCTAATGTATGTAACATTTCTGCTGCTAGACTGCCCACGTGAAAAATAAAAACAGTAAACCAAAAAAAGCCACCCATAGGACCCTATTAGAGGGATAAATTAATGCAGATTTTCTTTCCTTGCTTATTTTTATTTCTGGAAAAGAAAATCAAAGCAAACAGATTGATCCTTTGCAGGGTCAAAGTTGCAATTAACCAAGGATCTATGCAGCACATGAAATATTGGGGGTAGTAGATTAGAACCTGACTGCTTTGTTCTACATATACCTTCATATACATTGACTTGAACTTTGAATTTACTACTCTCTGTCATTTTTTGTTTCTTGCACATATATGTACTTATTTAGGGCTAAATTCTATTTGTTACCTTGTGTTTTTAAGACACAATACCAGCAGAGACTGGGAGAAGCATTGTAATAGATTTTAAACTACTTTATTATTGTCATCATTGTGCATATTCACACACAAGTATCATGGTCCAAATTATTTTGAGGCAAATCATTAAATTGTGCAAAATAAATAAATAAGTCCATGTGAAAGTGCAGCTGAAGCGAATCCCTGTACTTTACAAAGTGGAGAAGACTTCTTTAATAGCCAAGGATTTGATTCTTCCATTTTATATTAGACTGGTTTCTCTACATGTTTCTCGTTAAAATTGTTATCTCACTGTCCTTTTGTACTGATGCATTTCTAGAGCAATAAATAGCTATTGAAATGCAGCTGTCACTGTGACAGTGTGTGAATTCCTTTCACTGCCCAGTTTTGATGAATGCAGTCTGGACAGGGAGCAGAGGCTGCACCTTTGGATGATGGGAGCAGCTACCTCTTGTGTTCAAGTGAATTTTTTGCTGGCCAAATATCTGAGTAGATATTTTAAGGAGCTGAGTTTAGAAGAGAGCCTCTAAAACTGACTAATAAAATCCACATTAAATTAGAAGCTGAGACATATTTTTGTAGCTTGCTGAGATTCTAGCACACATTGGTATTAGTAAGATAATAAATGCATAATGGATGTGGCACCCACCTGAATATTTCTGAGTTAAAAAAAAAAGATTGATAGACAACGCATTCCATTAATTCTCTCTTTTACAACTAATAAACTTCCAGTTCATTAAGTTATTACATGCCATTCTTCATCTCACAAATAGAACCCATAATTCAGTTTTTCCCAGAGCTGCACATTCTTTAAGTCTACAGACTAAATTGCCAGAGCACATTTTGTCAATAAAGCTTCTGTTTGGTGGGAGAAGGAAGGGGCAGTTAAGTAAAGTAATATGAAATGCAACCCATTTTTTGTGTCAGAGGTCATGTATTTGCTTCAATATTGCTTTTATTCTATTAATAAGTTCACTGAATGATGATTATTATGGAAAGTTGGTGGTTATTCACTGCATTATGTTTAAAATGTTCTACATTTTGTTTCAGGCTTTTACACTTGTGAATCTTTAGCATTATCTCGAGAAGTAAAGTGTCTTTTTGCAGTGAATCCCTGACAATGTATTAGTTCAGCTGTGCATTTACTGGGGGATAAAATCTTTCTTCTGTGAGCAGTGGGAAAGCCAGAGAGGCAAACAAAAAATCAGCCATGTTCTGCAGCCCTGGACCAAAAGACTTGTCGCTTCCTGAGCCAGCCCAGCCCAGCACAGATGCAGGCAGCCAGTGACACCTTCAGCATGGAAAGTTATATGGGACTAATTTGCGTCCTAGACCAAGTTTCCAGCACTGCTCTTCTCACCAGGGCTTTAAGAGGGATTACTGTGCTCTGTGTTGAGTCTAATATATAGTATCTATCTGTAAAAAATACAACCTGAGATAAAATGCTTGCCTAGGGAGTGGGATAGAGTGGTCCAGGCTCTTCACAGCTTGCAGTGATTTAATACCATTTTTGCTGTCCAGAGAAACAGGCAATTGTGATGAGATTAAAAATAAAAACAGTCTGCCCTTTGCTCTACCAGCTCTGGCATCTGGGTAGATGCTCAGATAAGGGTGCCAGTAGGTTGTAGCTGATCTGCCCCCTGAGACAGCACACTGTGAGGAGGGAGTGAAGTGAGGGCAGGGAGGGGGAACAGGGCAAAGCAGCCACGCTGCAGCAGGTTTAGCTCTATTTTGGGGGGTGGCAGGGGCAGACCCCGGGAAGCATCGCAGTGCCTGCCTTGGGGAGGAGTTGCTCTGACCCTGGGAGGCTCAGAGCCTGTCTTTTCCCTTGTCTGCCCCTCTTCTGGTTAAAGCCTGCTTGCTGTTTTCTTCTCAGTGGAAATCAGCAGCTGTGAGCAGTCAGCATTTTCACCAGAAGGAGAAGAAGCCATTCCCTACCCAAACTTTCTTAGGGGTGTGTGGTTCAGTTTGCTGCAAGTGTGTCAGCAAATTAACATCACCTCTATAGGAGAATGGGCTCTAAGTCAGGGTTAGTCTGGCAAGGAGAGGAATGAGAAAGGTTAGCACTGACCAGGAGTATTCAAGCCTGTACACTACTGGGAGGAGATGTTGAGTAACATTTTAGCCTGTCTGGATCTCAGACTGTATTATGGTTCTTTAATATCAGCTAGTAATTCTTCTCATGGTATTTGTGGTTAGCAAATACATGTGTGATTGCTGTCAATTGAAGTAATAATGGTGTAGTTGGAAAACATTCTTTTAAAACAAAAAGTTGTAAAATGATACTAAGACAACAGTATAATGGGATTACTTTCATGAAAATTACAGACTGTGAATTATAAATAAGAGAACAATAGAAAACTTTTTTTTTTTTAGTGGAAAATATAATAAATTCAAGGGAAGCCGAAAGTTTCTCATTGATCCTTTTCCCAGAGATCCCTCAGGGAACCTCTCATGCAGAACAGTCTATCTCTGAAGAAGATGCAGTTTGTGTATGTTCAGTCTCTGCAAGTCCCTCACAGCTACAGCAGAGTGTGCACCTGTGGATCCATATTGTTATGTGCTCTTGGGCTTAACTCCATCTGGACTTGAAACCCTGCTTAGAATATATCCTGCCTTCACACTATGGAATCGTGCTGCCCAGGCTATATTAGTGTCCTAAGCTAACCTCTGAAATGCTGGCTCTCTGGACCATCATGGAGTTGAGTCAATAATATTTTGCCTTATCAAAGCATTTCTAAAATCTGATTTTTCTAGATAGCTAGGTGGTGTAATATTCAGTATTCTAATGGAGTTTCTTAATCTACCGTCACTCTTTACTGTGATCTTGGCCCATGTAATTTGATTAGCCATTCATAACTTTAGTACCTAATATATAAGAAATGGCAGTGAGCTGAGAACACTGGAAATATTCACAAGAACCAGAAAAGCAGACTGGGAGCTGTGGGCCTTTTGTAACTGCTGACATGTACTGAGAGGCCCTTACACTGAATTTATCCAGTACTTTTGAGCTCTTGCTTTATGTTAAAATAAATAAAAAAGTAAAGCTCTTATCTTTAGGCTTGTTGCTTTTTTATCAAGGGAAGTTTTAATGAGAAAGTTTAACTCATCAATGTTAAGTTTTCTACTAATTACATAAAAGTGATTTTCCCCTGCAGGCAGGTTCTGTTATCTGACACTCCTGAACTAGTGGGTAGCATCCATGGATGGTGTTATCCTACTTTAGTCTTCAAAAAAAAAAAAAATTCTAGGAAGTTATTGATTAGTTAAATAGACACTTCAGAGCTCCATGCTGTTTCTGTAATTCCAGAATTGGAATAGATATGCTCAGCCTTTCAGCTATAATATATGCTGCTTCAGTGGCAAGATGCTGTATGATTCAAAATAATATATTTGACAACGTAAGTGAGGGGTCTAGGTCACACCTAGTAACTTAAGCGTGTGGTTTTGCTCATTGTTATATAAAAAAACAAACTAAAACAAATCTAATTAGGAGATCAGCATTCACTCCTGGCACACTGGCTATTTTTGCATGCTGGCTGTTTTTCATTTTACAGGCCTATCATGAGCTGAGATTGAAGTCACTTTTTTTCCCTACCGAGCGAATAAATTACAAGTCCTGGAGCAGCTCACAGTGTGCTGTAATTCTTGGCTATAACATCTATGAGATATGTTTAAACTGAATGATCCACTGCTCAGAGGAGGGATGGCTTCTTTTATAGCCCTCTTGTTCTTGTAGACAGTAAACCACTGAAACAGAGCATGAACACAAGGGCAGGTTCACCACATTGTCATCTTTTCTGGAGTCTTGCGTGTGCTTTTGTC